CTCTAGAACCGGACGATTTCCGATTTTTGGGCAATCCGGTTCCTTTTTCACTATTTTCGAGTCGAACCGGGCGAGTCCGGTTCGACTCGGCGTTTTTTAAAACGCTGGTATGCCCACTTGCTGACCGCTACAGTAAACGCCAATATTGAATTTGTATCGATTTGACAGTCACGATTTTATTTCGTGTTTGAATTTTAATTTTTTTTAGAAAAATCCAAATCACTTGAAATTTTAGACATGCATTCTTCTCATCAATGTACATCTAATAAAAATATAAAAAAATAATTCGTGAAAAATAAAATGATTAAAATACCCCTAAATCATTTTGGAGGTATTTTGGTCAATTTATTTCATGTAAAATATTTTTTTGATATTTTTCATAGACTCGCCTATTTTTTAAAAATGCACGCTTAAAATTTCAAATGATTTGGATTTGTAAAAAAAATTAAAATTCAAACACTGCTGGACATCCGTGGTCGTCAGATTGACCCTGATTTAATTTGGGCCGTGAGCATTTACTGTAGCAGTGCGCCCATGGACGTACAAAATCTTTTTACTATTTATATATATGTATATAGTCCATTCATAAGACATTGATTTATAATAATCACATTGGTAATCAAAATTATTGCCTACTTCTTCCTCAGTAGAAGAGTCAGTTTCATCAATAATATTAATAGCTTCTTCCGAAATGATATCAGAGTCAAGCTTCTAATTTATTACTTAAAGTTTGATCTCATCCAAAATAAGCCAGCCGTTAAAGTCGTAAAAGACAGTACGCCTAATCCTTTGGAACCCTAAGTCGTGGTCGAGTACGTACGCGCATAAGATAAGTCGCTAGTGCATTTATCCCATTTACTGTGAAACAGGAAAATTGTAACTGCATTATTAACTCAATGGCTAGTCTATTTAGGAGCAGATCTCAAACTTTAAGCAATGAAGCTAGTTCTTCCAGCTCTCATATCAGTAATATTAAGAATATTGAAGAAATTATTATTTTCAATATAGAAAAGAGTATAACATTCCAAAGGTCCCAATTTGTGAAATATATAGAAAATGATTGTTTCAGTTTAAAAGTGATTATGCTATAAAAAAAGTTGAAAAAACCATTTCCATTTTTGAATCACATGATATATTTTCTCTTCTATCTAAAGATAGATTAGATGAGCATAAAAATAAAGGTTACAACTAGTTGCACATAGGATTAGTCCAAATTGTTGTTAAACCCTTAACTCGCACTGGACTAACTATCAAGAGGAACTTCCAAAGATACTACTATGGAAGAATTGA